TCTATGGTTAGGGACGTGATAGTGAAGAACTTATTCAGCCACGCTAAGTGGTGGCGTGGTCATATTCGCTGCCAACCGGTTCAGCTCCTCGCCTTTGCAAATGACCAAATGCAGGTGATGGGGAAGATACACCCTCTCACTGTCGACAGCTTCGCCACCCGCCACATCCACCAACTCGGCAGCCAGGTACTCGAGCACAGAAGGCAGGCAGACCGGTGCTTCATCACTTTCGCTCTGCGCGCAGTTGTCGCGAAGCAGCATACGGTGCACTAAAACCCGCCAGTTCCGCCCTTTTATTTGTTTTCCCATTAGAGAAGTGTGTTCTACCATTCGATTCAGTCTCTTCGTCACGGCAGCAAAATTGTGGGCAGATTGAAGTGAATACCCCAATCCATAAGTCACCTCTATTTATGCACACTCCATCGCTTGTGCATTGGCTTTGAAGTAGCCTAACACCAGTACACTATATCGTTACCATTGTTTCGCCACTTGCTTCTGACCAAGTGTACAGTTGCGTCGTACAATTGACTTCTTTTCCTCAAATCGATTCGCGTCTCTCGCTATTGCACGTCCCCACCTAGAGTAATCCTACCCACCAGCCTCTCCTAAGCAGACATGACTGTCTGTCGCCAAAATGCAGCTAACGTTTACAACACATGATTGTTCCACCCACATGGGTACACTACTGGGACCCGATTACCGAAATACCTTGGGACAAATTTGGGGTTGCCTTCGGGATGTTGACTCCACTTAGCACCATGTTCGCAACAAGACATGGACGACCTGGTTACCAGTATGCTCCCATGACTGACAGTGTGGCCACGCCTGCCTCATTTCATCGCCCTGGGGAATAACTGAAGGTATGTGCACACCCTCATTGAGGCATTACATGTAATGGCTGTAATTAGAGCAAGTGCTGTGTAAATCTCTATGCCTCGGCATTAGTGTAGCGTGCATTGATGCTAAGCAACAGATAGACGAGAGCATTTCAGTCGGTTTGGCCAGATAAATGGAATTGTGATGTTATGTCCAGACGAGGCTCGATTGTGAGTGAGATGTCAGCATTGTCCGTGACGTTGGTCTGTGGGAGAAGAGACTAATACCTTCATCGGCCAAACTTCATGCACAAGTGTCCACACG